GACTTCGGAGACTGTCTTCTCGTAGTCGGGAACTATTGGATTCGAGAATCCCTCAGGCAGCATCCGAGAGAGCATTCCTAGGCAGCCGTAGATGTGGTCTCGGGGGTCCTCAAACCGTGAGGATCGAAGCTTGGATATCAAATCGCTTGCAGAGTGGTACCACTCCGTCGGTGTGGATGCTTGCTGCGTTGATTTTGTTGTGATCAACTGGTAGGCTTCGTCGATAGCCCGGACCTTGGCCCCGATTGGCGCCTTGCCTCGCGGGATCGTACCAAAGTTACCAAGTCCGATGGTCGTGTTGTACGCGATTCTCAATGTGTGAGTCCATCCAGCGAGCTGAAGGAAGTGAGAGAAAGCGGTGAGCCGTGTCCACCGGAGCTCTTTCTGCCCGCACAACAGAAAGACATTCTCAGCGCGCGCAAGAGCCACCTCTTGGACGATCCATCCACGATGGAACCAGCGTCGTTTGTCGAGAAAGTTTGCAAAGGAGAGCCACGAGAATGCCCAGCGGGAGCACACATCTTCCCCCAACAGGTCCACCACGCTTGCAGACTTGCACAGGGGATCCGCCACGAACTGTGCCACAACAGTCGGGTTTTGGCGGGAAATCTTGGCGAGCAGGGGGATGAAGACGTCGTGCACCCAGATGAAATCATGGCCAGGCTCTGTCTCTCCAAGCCATACGAGGACGCTCTGCGCTCGGCTGTATATCTTGTCCATGAGAAGCACTTGATGCTGCCGTTCCTTTGGGTCTGACTGGTTGATGCAGAATGCGTCGATCCAAAGTGGCCGTTTCCTTAGGGATTCGACCAAACCAGATGCTCTTGGAGAAGTCTTTGGACGTTTCCTCGGCGCCGGGCTGTCTTGCTCAGGCGAACTGCGTTGCTCGAAGCCATGTTGGTCCAAGGCCCTGACCGCTGTCAGGAGAAATCGAAACAGGTTTTCAGAAATCGTTCTTGTCTTCCCGTCGCACTCGACAGCATAATCCTTGCCGGCGCCGGGGTCGTCGTCGAGGCTCCATGGGTGCTTCTTTGGTGGATACTCTGGAAGCTGCCAGGTGTAGGAGACGGCGGAGAATTCGGGCTTGTCGGCGAGATGAACTTCCTTGAGGGAGAGAGACAGCGCATGCGGCTTGGAGTCATCCTTGCATACGTAGAGGAGTCGGATCGAGTCAGTTTGTGACAAAGTTTGGTAGTGGTATTGATCCATTATCGCAGGTGGCCACCAGGGAGCAGGGAAAAGTGTTCCTCACTGTTGTTTTTTCTCCGCAGTTGGGATCGCTGCAGGAAGATAGCAGGCAGCCGCCACTCCTGATAGGTTTAGGCCGTCCAGACCTCAAGTGCGGGGATCTTGGCGCCAATGCGGCCTGGCCAACAAGAAAGGCCATTTTTGAGCCCGGCGTGCCATTCACACTAGGTATCCAAGGTGGAAGAGAATTGATGATAAGGCTGTGATTGAGGGAAAGTTTGTGGAGCCGCTGCCCTCGAGACCGCTGCCCTCGAGACCTGAACAGCCACCAGGGATTTGCCCCGCCTTCCAGTTCTTCTCCATCCCACCTGTTTGCACCTTCCAAGTCCAACGACAACGACTGCCAAAAAGCTATCCGCCATCCCACGCTCATCCTCCCAGACCGTCACGTAATTACAGTGAGCCCCACCAAACCAACCCGCCGCGCTCCAGCAGTGCTACTCACCCGCATGTCAACAGAACGTTCCTTGAAGAGTTCCAATTGCCTGTTGCTGGTCTACTTACATGGCCCTGCTCAGCATAAGGAGGATTAGTCAACCCTCCGCTATTACCCCCCGCATATGCGCAGTTCAGTCGCAATCCCGCAAGGTTTGCCGGGGTGTCGATGATGCAGACATTGTCTTCGACGTCGCAAGTCCCTTCGAATCGAGGTACGGTTTGGCGGCTGTCGAGGTTGATGCCGGATGGCATGGCGGAGGCGCTAAGGGAGGTGGTGAGGAGGGTTAGGAGGGCTGGGAGATGCATTGTGGGATAGAGATCCGAGCTTGTTTTGCTCGACTTTGTTTTCTTGTTGGCTGAGGGGCTGCGGTCTGGTGCATTTTATCTTCGTTTCGGTGCCGGTCTCAATGTGACTGAGTTTCCATTACTTCTGGTTTAGCTCTTCCCAGACCTGTTACCCTTTGAGTGAGACAACCATATCGGGGAACGGTTCAGCCCCCATTGGGACGTTGACGTCGTGTGGTGAGTCAGCCCGCCGTACGCCCGCAGTAACAAAACCCCATTCGAGTCTAATAGTTGCACGTACTTGGGAGTATTTCCCCAGTTAGAGCATCATGTAAGATTGGTCATCCTCGCTACCAAGCCACGGCATTGAGTCTGAGGAACTATTGAGTCTACGCATCGGTATGCAACTAGGACATCCGAGCTTAGCTAGTGCCACGTGGGCACCCTTCAAAGGGGCCGTCGGTACACTGGGCTCCTTTAGTATCAGGTAGGTAACGTCTCAACCTCATCCAAGAACAAACTCCCTCACCTCCCCACCACTCAGTGCCTCCCCATCCATAAACCCATCAAGACAACACTCCCCCACAAACTCCCGTTCTACTCCTCCCTCTCCAGCCGTCTCCCTCAACAAAACAGGCACGCTACACCCAAACAAAACACAAACCGCATCACCCTTCCTCGCCCTCAGAGGCGCCATCCCAACGTTCCCGTCCCTCGTAATACACAACCTCCTCCCCATCCTCCTCGGTCCCTTTATATCATGCAGCCTCGGGACAAAGCCTACCTCTGATACATCCACGCTTTCCCTGCTCCCTTCTTGTATGCGCATCCCCCGGTGGAAAGTCTGTTGAAGGACGGTCACACTCGATTCGGCCTTCTCAGGGGTTTTGCAGATACCTTCGAGAGTTTCGCCGCGGATGAGGAGAGATTTGTTGAGTTTGAACCAGGGGAGGAAGCGGCGGGTTGCGAAGGAGGAAGTGCCCTGTTGCCGGGTGGCGTCAGCAGCGAGCTGGACTAGAGGAAGTCGGTACTAAGGTATCGATAGGGGCGGGGTAGGAGAGGTAGCGGTCGTGGCGGTTGAGCACAAGTGAGCGGACGATGGGAAGTCAAGGAGGTTGGTTTGATCTCCTTTGTCTTTGTCATTGTTAGACGGCGGTGGGGCGTTCGGTGGTGAGTCGGACTGGATGAGATTTGGGTCGGCTGACGGGTCGATAGCGATGGAGGAGTCATATTGGACGCCGCCTAGCCCGTCAATGTAGTCGATGAGGATCCCCTTGCAAGTGAGTTTTCGAAAGTCTTCGGAAAAGATGGCTTGTGGTGGTTCCCTTCCTGAAGCGGCATGCACGGAAGAACGGGGGACAGTGTCCGGATATGGTAGCGGCCTGAAGTTTGAGATGTGCCAGGCGCCGCTTTGGCTCACAATCAACGGGATGACAGACAACTCCATTGATTGCGCCCAGTCAGGAGCCCATGATGGAAGCCGTGGTCCGCTGTGGATGCCAGTAGTCCATGCCCTGAACAGCTGAGCGAAGCAAATGATATCTAGGCTCGGGTATGTGTCGATGAACACCTTGACAAGCGCGGTGTACACAACACCAACTTCGTAGCCGTAGGTGGGTGTCCCCATCATAACGATATTCGAGGGCCTCGCCAGGCCAAGCAAACTATACACCCTGTCCCGCGGATCAGCCACGGCACAACCACCGGTGTATGCCATCAACGCAAGCAGCCCCATCTTGTCCCAGCAACCATCATGTCTACACCACTGATGCAGCCTCCTCCGCGTCCACGCGGGACTTCAGGCTCCGTCCTTGATCAGCTTCTCCCCGGGATTGCATAGCCGAAGAGACGGCACCGCATTCTCGAGATCCTTTCTAGATATCCTCTTTCTCCCACAGCAAAAGTCCAACCAGGGCGATATGATGAACTCTTGAAGAGTCCGCAGCCGGCGCCACCAGCTCCTGTTAAGTACAGCTGCAAGTGCTTTCCATTTGGCTGCATTGTTCAGATGCGCGGGGATGGACCGTGAGCAGCCTTTCTTCTTTGTTGTTCCGGTTGATGGCGGCCGCCCCACTGATGAGCGTGTGCATAAAGTCCACACCAAGATCTGTCTCGGGGGTACCTTCGCCAAGCCAGACGACAGTCTTGGTTGCGGAGCGACAGATGTTGCCCATCAACGAAACTTGAGAGCCTCGCTCGTCGATATCATCTGGGTTGATGCATATAGAGTCGATCCACGGCCATGAGTCGCCGCTGAGGCTGATATCATCGCAGAAGAGCTCAAGAAGTTGGTAAACACTCTCAAGTATGTCGAAATTCTGACCCTGGAGTTGGATGGTTTTCTTGTCGCTTTCGTCCCAGGCGTAGGAGAAGGCAATGAAGTGGCGTCGCGACTTGGAGCCTGAGGCCAAGCTGAAGGCTTGCAGTTCCCCAGCAATCTCATCGCTTGCATCGCGGCAGACGCGAAGCAACCGGAAGGATTCGCCGCCCTGAAGCGACTCGTACATTTTGCTGTTGTCATCATTTTGGTATTTTCGAAGTGACGGCAAGCTGGATATGCTCGTGGAGATGATCTCGCCGTGGCAGAGGAGCTGACTCCGCTTTCTCAAGGTTGCGCCTGCCTCTGGACCACTTCAGGGTTCAGCTGAAGAACATCACGTGCTGCACGCCCATTTCTCAGGAGGCAACTCGCTCCCACAAACTGCAAAGCCCATTCCTCTTCCGAAAGATTTATCTGGTCACTCCTTGGGCATACATTGTCTGTCACACGGTAGCTGGGCCTCTTCCCGGTTGTTGGCATCGGCTTGAGGCCCGGCCCGACGACTGTGCCACTGCAACTGCAACGGCTTACAAGGAGCTCGCCCAACGCAACCGTGAAACGTATCCCTCACACTGCTGACTCGTACTCCCTAATTTGCTGGTACTCGGAATCCTACACAGCGCATTCTCCAGTGTCACCAAACCTCCAAGTCAACTGGCAAAAATAGGCCGGGGACAAAAATGGGGATACCGTAAGGGTCTCGATATCTTGCCCACTAACATAATCGAACCGACGACCTTGTCATTAATAGCGACACGCTTTACCACTGAGCCAAGCGGGCTGGAGGTGGTTGCCGTGAAGGCATCACCGGTGCGTCAGCCGCGAATCGAACGCGGGGCCCATCGATGGCAACGATGGATTTTACCACTAAACAACTGACGCCTCCTGATTTTGACATAAACTCTGACTCGTAGATTTGCTAGTATCCTGTGGGTTCTGCGGTGGAGTGATGTGGATGTTGGTGGTGGGTCGGGGTTGCTTCCGTGACGGGAGCGGCCCGGCGACATCCACCCTGACCATCAGAATCATCATCCCCAGTACTCTCTGCCCCCGTGGGCGACAACACATTCCGCCTGGCCCTAGCCCCTTTGTCTCTAGATCGGTGGCATCGTTCGCGCGGCCGGCTCGAAGCGCTCCACCCTCCACTTCGGCTTCAGGGATCTCTTCCCAACCAGGTGGGTCCCCCTAAACTCTCTTTCAACGTCCCCTGATGACTGTTTCTCCGCTGGGCTGGAGGGATGAGCGGAGCTCAACGCCAGCGGCGGGTAGAGAAGGGAGTCATGTATAGATGGTGGTTGGCGCGTGTTGATGCATTTGTATCTGAGGACTCTGTTGGTCCCTGCGGCATGAGCGTGGAGCCGATCTTTTCTCCCGGCTGAGACACGAGATGGCTGGGTCTTCGTAGTGGGATCATTCGTCGTGGACTTCAGCCTGGTTCTACCTCGACGGTGGCAACACTTGGAATATCGCTTTCGAGGCCTTCTCGGACACCCGCTCTTTGCTCGTCGGTAGCAATGATGTCCTACTCATCGACCTGCCGTGATAAAGATACATCGCGAGCAGCACCGTAGCTGCACCCCCAGTCGCCTGTAAAGCAACCTGTTAGCGGATCAACACATGAGGATCAAAGAGAGACTCACAGCCAGTGTCATGGGAGTCCCGAACAAGATAGCCGTCGCCGTATAGCTGACAACGATGCTGAGACTCGCAGCAAAGTTCTTGGCCACATTGCCGGCGTACGCTATGCACACAGCAACGATCAACCCCCCGATCGCTTGCAGCGCGATGGTGATCCACACGATTGGCTTATACCCGGCAAAGAAACCATCCCGTGCGATGGCGGCACCGTCCTGCCAGAGGACGCCGACGAAGAGCGCCGGAAATAGGCTGAAGAAGGATAGTTGGACGTTGCGCGTCCACAACGAGACGGTGGCGAGCGAGTCTTTCACCAGCTTCTCGAAATAGACGCAAGTCAGACCGGAGATGACCGCAGCAGACAGAACGGCGAGGAGGCCCTTTACGGCGCCAGGGGCGGGGGCTTCGAAGGCCTCAAGCAGGAGGTCACCTTGGATGAGAGAGGTGAGGCGGTCCTTCCAGCTCTCACTTCCGAGGGGGCCTGCAACTTGGACCAAGGCCACTCCGAATGTGAGGAGCACCAGCGACAGCCATTGTCTCGAGGAGATCGAGGTACCCAGGAGCAGGATGCTGAATAGGACTGTGGTGAGGATTTTGAGTTGGTATGTGACTTGGAAGGTGACGGCGTCCAGGTTGCTGATGGCGGCGTAGACGAGGGAATTTTGCAACGTGTAGAGGGCGGCGGGGAGGATCAACTTCCAGCTGTCGGGGGCAAATACGGAGCGGCGCAGCAGCGTAGCGATGTGGGAGGCCGAGCTCGAAGGGTGCGATTTGCGGATATCGTATGTTGCGAAAACCAAGCTAAACAAGAGCTTGATCGCCTCAACGAGTAAAACGGCCGTCGACGCCAAGTATCGGGTTCCTTGTTCGGTTGGTCCGTTTCGCGAATGGTGCATCACCATAACCAGCGCCGAATTCTGGACAACAAGCTGTGCGATCCATGATGTTAGACAAAACCGCCCACCGAGACAAGATACGACGTTCGATGCGACTGGTGACATCGATTTGGAGTCGTGGAGCTCACCAAGATCAGGGCCCAGTTCCCCGCTTCGGGCCGGCGAAGATCGACTTGGCGCATCGCATTGCCAAGCATGATGGAACAGTTAAGCTTTTAAGCTTTCCCGGTGTCTGTTCAGGGGCGCATCGAGGCAGTTTTTGAATGCAAGAAGGGTTTGTGAAGGAATGCCAGGAACCAGAAAACGATCACACCGCCTGCAGAAAGCAATGAGCTGCAAATGGAATCGGTCGAAGAGCCAAACCCATCAATCGGAGAACCTTTGACATCGCTTCGACCAGCCGGATCCACCGGGGCTTTTGTCATGCCTGCCGACAATGGAGGGGAAGGGGTGGTCGGCTCGCCAGAGGGCTGGGCTGTTGCGCGATGGATCCGCCACCCGCATTGGGCAGGGCGATTTGGGGTCAAGTACACCGTGCGCGCAACGCTGTGCCCGTTCTCAGTAATCCGTGAAAATTAGCGACCCATGGGCGCGCGCTAGATTCCTGTCCTTGATGATCACTCTGCTGTCATGTCATCCTCATCGAAAGCAACCGGGAGCCTCATCCCGCCTTGAAATATTCGGCGCTCCCTAGGCGCTCTTCATCATTCTTCGTATCGCTTTGCGCGCGCCGAGCTGCCTCAATGCCACCGCCATGCTCCAGAAGTTCACCGCCAAACCCGCTCTGCTGCTGAGCCGGGTACCACGGCGTGCCTGGCGCTGGCTCTTTCGCGTCGCCCTCATTGCGCTGCTGCTGCCGCTCTTTTTGCAGTGGCTCATCGCCTACATTGTAGGCGGCGATGCCAGAATTCTGCCTCCTCAATTGCTGGCCGCTCGCAACCTGCTCATCGTGACGGCGCACCCCGACGATGAGTGCCTCTTCTTCGCCCCCAGCATCCTCGGCGTTTTGGACCGGAACAGAGAAATGACCGGGGGCCTGCTAGTCATGTCGACAGGTAAGATCAGTGTTACCTCATTTTGGTGATCACATTTTCAGCACTTCGGTTCGGTTCCAGTGCTGATAGCGTCCAGGCAACAACTACGGGATTGGCGAGCTCAGGAAAAAAGAGCTTGCGGGCTCCTGCAAAGCACTGGGTATCGACGAGAGCCGATGCGTCGCCCTCGACACACCTGGCCTCCAGGACAACCCGAGAGTGTGGTGGGACATCGAGCTTATCGCCAAGATAGTCCACGAGCACGTGCTCAAATGGGAAGTTGATGCGGTGCGTTCTCCCTCTCTCATCAGCGCTTTCGCGCGTGCTGATGCGTTTTGCGAGCGAAAACCTGTCGCCTTCACATTCTGTCATCTTCTCCACTCCCAGAGCTGAACTAGCATGGTGCTAATTCTGGGCTCGGCGTGTTCAGATCATCACATTCGACGAAGGCGGGGTGAGTGGGCACATCAACCATCGCGCCGTCAGCGCCGCAGTCAGGTAGGCAAACGACCCCGCCAATGGCCACCAGCCACATCCCGTCCCGTCTCCTCGCCCATCCACCCGCTCGGCGTCCGTTGGCAATGCTGACCCGTTCTCACAGCACGTACGCTTCCACACACCCGCAGGCTCCAGTCGCCTTCACGCTCACCACAACTGCCCTTCCGCGCAAGTACACTTTCCTGGGCGACCTGCCACTCACCGCTCTCCCATTTGCATGGCGTATCATCGAGGCGCTCTCGTTCCCCGCACGCACGGCGGACCCAAACGACGGCACCCGCGCGCTCCTCGCTAATTCTTGGCACCGCTATCGCATGACACGCGACGCTTTCGCCCAACATCCAAGCCAATACAGCTGGGACCGGCACTTGTACATGATTGTCAGTCGCTATGTCTGGTTCAATGACCTGAAGAGGATACCTCGGGCGGTTGCGGAGTCGCTCGCGCAGCAATAAGCCGTTAGCCCTGCAATTTAGAAGACATCCAGAGTTGATCGCCGCGCAACCCTCACGCGACGTCCATTTCGGTGCACTTTTCTCGAGCGGCATCTTCCATAGACCCCGAAGCTTCCGAGCCACCAAGCCGGGGTATGGCGCTGCAGTCAAAGGGGTCGCATGCAAACGGGGATTTTGATTCGTCTCGAGCGCTCCATCGGGATCCTCGATGGTCACCACCATCACGTCCCCAGCCAAGCTTTTTGCCCTGGTCAGTTTTTGGACCAGTCTAGGCCTTGCGCTCCAACCCTAACGTCTTCTGGCCTGCGGCGAGCAGTGAAAGGGCACGTGAAGGGGCACGGCAGGGAGTGGCTTCTGCCTGCCACCGCTGTGCTGGAATGCAGCTGAAAGCAAACGTGCCGAGCACACTAACCAAACCGATGCTAGCTTGAGAGCGCGCCAGAAAATTTTGGAAGCGGTCCAGCGACGAACGATGCGTATCTTACACAGTACGAATATTGCTGACAGCTGTCAGAGAACAAAAGATCGTTCTCGCCGGTTTCAACCCAATTTCGATCCCTTGCATCTTTGTCTGTGAATCGTCCCGCGTGCCAGGTCCCACCTGCGGCGCTCGTGTAAGCGACCACCGTCGCTGGGGCCGCTGGTCAAGTCACCCCCCCCCCCCCAGTGTGGGCTCTTTCTCATTTTACTGCTTTGTTCCCCCGCCTACCCTCGGGCGCCGTCAAGGAAAGCCCGAACCACCGTCACCGTCGACTTTGAGTTTTTGCTCCCGCAAACACCTCGTCCACGAACCATGAACAGGTAGCAATGGGAGCAACCATCAAATCGGCGCGGGTCCACCGCACACACCGAGGACTCCTCGCCGGCCTCCTCACGCTCACAGTCTTGGGCCTTCTTTGCGCCCGCTCACTTCTTCATGATGTCTGGGCACTAGCATCGCTTCCTATAATATGGTGGAACCACTCGGAACAGTTCCTCATCTCCAGCCACGCCGACGGCTTCGACCTGAGCTTCGCAAATTACAGCATCGAACAAACGAGCGCCGCTCCGTTCGAAGATCGCGTACCTCCTATTCTCCACCATGTCGCCATGGGCGGGGCCGGCGCCGAACACCACATCGCAAAGTGGCAGGATGTGCGACAGAGCTGCATCGACTTGCACCCGGGCTGGGATGTGCATCTCTGGACCGACGAGCTGGCCTCCACTTTTGTCGCCGACCACTTCCCGGAGCTTCACGAGATGTGGGAGAACTACCGATACCCC